AGGCCCCCAAAACGGCCCCAAGACGGCCTCAAAAGCTCCAAGGACGACCCAAGAGGGCCCCAAGAGCGCCTACAACTGCGCCTCCAGAAGCCGAAATCATTATTTTCTCGTGGTTTCTGCAATATTTTAGCGTTCTCGCCTTTTTCGACTCTCAAAAATCAATGACGGCCCAAGCAACTTCCATAATCGCCCCAGAACAACCAACAAAAAACCCAAGAGGGCCCCAAGACGGCCCAGGAGGGCCTCAAAACGGCCCAAAGAGGCCCCCAAGACGGTCCAAGAGGCCGCGAAGTCGGCCCAAGAGGACCCCAAGAGGGCTCCAATGCGGCCGCGAGAGGCCCCCAAGACAGCCTCCGAGGGGGCGAAACGGCGCAAAAGCGCCCCAAAACGGCCGAAAACGCCCCCAAGAGGCCCCAAGAGACCCAGAAAAAACCTCCAAGAAGCATCCCAGAAGCCTCCAAAAGGCCCCCAAAAAGCCCACCAAAGGCCACACAGCGACTGGAGTGTAATGTTATCTCCCCCCCTTTGGGCGAACTGCGGCGCAGCGCCAGCCAGGTGGAAGTTGGTCACTGCGGCGCCCATGATTAGAGCCGGCGTTGGAAGGGAAAATGGGGAGGGTGTATGAAAAGGAGGGAGGGGGGAAAGGCCCCAAAGAACTCCCCAAGAGGCCAAAAGAAACTCCCAGGAGGCCTCCCGGAGGCCCCCAAGAGGCTCCCAAGAGGCCCCGCGACGACGTGTCTGTACGTGCTCCGGACGTGCACCCCGCGAAGCGAGAGGAATCCACGTCCGGAAGTGACGTGCTGAGCGGCAGCGTTTTCCGGCGAACGCCTTAATGCAACGTATCCTATTTATCCAATGATTGCATACTTGCCACATGTTGTATTGTGTTACATTATTCTGTCTCCCCCGCTAACCCCCCCTGGGAGCTGCGCCGCACCGCCGGACCAAAGTGGCCCCCCCCCTCCCGGGGCTCAGAAACCTACCAAAACTTATAGAAAATCTATGATTTCGGCCTCTTGGGCCTCTTGGGGGGCCGAGAAGGCGCCAAGACGGTTCAAGATGGGCTCTGTGCGGGCCAAAACGGCCCCGAGACGGTCCGAGAAGGTTCCAAGAGGGCCCAAAAAGCACAAATGACGGCCCAAGAGGGCCCCACGAGCGCCCACAACTGCGCCTCCAGAGGCCAAAATCATTGACTTTCCTATGGTTTGGGCAATATTTAAACGTTCTCGCCTTTGCGGCCCAAGCAGCTTCGCAAATAGCTCCAGCACAACCCAAGAAGCCCCCAAGAGGGCCCCGAGACGGCCCAACAGAACCCCAAGACGGCCCAGAGAGGCCCCCAAGACGGTCCAAGAGGCCCCTATGACTGCCCAGGAGGACTCCAAGACGGCCGCGAGAGGCCCCCAAGACGGTTTCCGAAGGAGCGAAACAGCGCAAAAGCGCACCAAAACCGCCAAAGACGCCCCCAGGAGGCCCCAAGAGGCCCCCAAGAGGCCCCCAAGGGGCCCCAAAAAGCACCCAAGAGGCCTCCAAGATGTCTTCAAGAAGCCTCCCAAAGGTTCCAAAGAAGCCCCCCAAAGGCTACACACACAGCGACTGCCCCAAGACGGCCCGAGATGGCCCCAAGAAGGCCCCCAAAGCCCCCAAGACGGCCCAAGGGGGCCCCAAGAGCGCCCACATGAGCGCCTCCAGAGGCCCAAATAATTGATTTTCCTATCGTTTTAAACAGATTTTAGCGTTCTCGCCTTCTCCGCCTCTCAGAAGCCCATGACGGCCCAAGCAGCCTCCAAGATGGCCCCACGAAGGCCCAAGAAACACCCAAGGGGGCACCGAAAATGCAACGTATCCAACGGATCCAATGGATCTAATGATTCAAAATTGCTACATGTTGTTTTGATTTACATTATGATGTCTCCCCCTCGAACCCCCTTTGGAGTCGCGCCACTACGCCGTACCAAAGTGACGGCCCCAATTCTGGTGCTCTCTCTCTCTCTCTCTCTCTCTCTCTCTCTCTCTCTCTCTCTCTCTCTCTCTCTCTCTATATATATATATATATATGACACTTTCGGTTTTTGGGGTCTCTTTGGGACTTCAAGAAGGTCTCCATATTGCCCGGGGTGGCTCCAAGACGGTCAACAACGCACTCAAGACGGCCCAAGATGGCCCAAGAAAGCCCAGAAAGCTCCCCCAAGAACGCACCCAGAGGCCAAAATCAATGATTTCCCAATAGTGTTTGGAGGATTTGGGCGTTCTCGCCTTTTTCGATTGTCAGAAGCCCAAGACTGCCCAAACAGCTTCCAACATTTCCCTCAGACCGCCCCAGAAGCGCCCACGGGAGCCTAAAGACGGCTCCAGAGGGCCCCAAGACGGCCCAATGAACCCCCCAAAACAACCCAAAAAGCCCCAAGACGGCCAAAGAGGACCCCAAGAGAGCCCCAAGGCGGCCGTGAGAGCCACCCAAGACGGCCTCCGATTGGGCGAAACGGGGAAAAAGCGCACCATCACGGCACAAGACACCCCCAAGAGGCTCCAGGAGGCACCCAAGAAGCCCCCAAGAAGCCCCCAAGAGGCCTCCAAGAGTCTCCCAAGAGGCTCCCAAAAGGCCCCACAACGACTGCACTGAGCGGGCAGCTGACGGTCTGGACCAGGTGCAGCACGTGGCTCATCGCACGAACTCCACTGGGCGCAGCGCGCCTCCAAGTGCAGGCCACGACTTGACTGTGCGTACTCCGGACGTGCACCCCGCGAAGCGAGAGGATCTTTATCACCACGGGTCCCAACAGCAAACCCAATACATCTCCCGACTAAGCAATCTGGAACATGTCAGCCTTCAGGCCATGCTTTCGACATGTACTGGGCATGTACTTGTGGCGAAAACCACTAGGCACGATGGTGACGGTCTGGCAACATAAGGCCGGTAAACAAACTGCAGCGCGTATGAAGTGCCTCACGAACGTGGGGAGGTGCAAAGTCATGCCATCGGCACATACAGATATCTGATTCAAATCTCCCTGAACTGTCATGGTAACTCGCCGAACCAGGGGGTCCAGGATGATAACGAACAGGATCCCTGACACCCTTATTTAATACCTCGATCCAAAGCAACATTGTGTTCACGGCTGTCACGAAACAGAGAAGACGTCCATTGAATTGACCATACAAAACGCATGTGAAACAATCGGCCAGACGCTCAATCAGTGACTCACAGACGGAACCGCAACCTTGGTGCCGAGAAAGGTTGCACCACTCTCTTTAAACCCAAACGCCTCCGACCAGAACGTGATAATTGAGCCCACGGGTACCATTTTCTCACTAAAGTTACGGCCAGATCAACAACCATTCCAAGTATGATGAATAAAGGTCTGGCCAAGATACTCCCGCGGCTGCGAGATCGCACAAGCCAGTACTCTGTTGTCACTGCCAGTAGCCTCACTTTGTCAACTCTCCTCTCCGGGGAAAAAAGGTGTCGGGCGACGGGTCACCCTTGGGTAAGAACGGGCCAAACGAAAGGTTCAATTCCTCCGAATGCACACCACAATCGCAAACATGAAGATACAAAGTGTAGACTGCGTCCCAACTTCGCTCTCGTGCTTTGACCACGGCCATGTAGGACACTCCATCGGCCCCAGGTGCAGACTCCCGACTCATCATTACAAGCTTGTGGAAGACCCTTCTCGGCAACTTCCACTGGGTATCGGCGTAACAAGGGATGGCAAGTGAGGAGGATCAGGAGGGAATGTGCAAATCGGTTTGGCAGTTTTTGGGTTTATCGATATATGCATCTGTATATGTAAATGTGTATGTGTATGCATGTGTATATATATATATATATATATATATATATATATGTATTTACATGCACCCACAACCCACAACCCACAACCCACAACCCACAGCCCACAGCCCACAAACCACAACCTACAATCCACAGCCCACAATCCTCAACCCACAGCCCACAGCCCACAACACACAACCCACAAACCACAACCCACAACACATAACTCACCACAACCTACAGCCCAGAACCCACAGCCCACAGCCCACAACCCACAACGCACAACACAAAACACACAGCACACAACACACAGCACACAACACACAGCACACAGCATACAGCACACAGCACACACCACACAACACACACACACCACGCACCACACGCCTCACACCACACACCACACACCGCACAAACCACAGCACAGCACACAGCACACAGCACACAACACTCAGCACTCAGCACTCAGCACTCAGCACCCAACACCCAACACCCAACACCCAGCACCCAGCACACAGCACAGAGCACAACCCACACACAGCACACAGCACACACAGACACCACATAACACACACCACACACCACACAGCACACAACACACCACACACCACACACCACAGACCACAGACCACAGACCAGACACCAGACACCACACAATCGCACACAAACAGACAGACAGACAGACAGACAGACAGACAGGCAGACACAGACAGACAGACAGACAGACACAGACAGACAGACAGACACATAAACAGACACACAGAAACACACACACAAACAGACACACACACACACGCACGCACAACACACACACACATACACGCGCGCGTATTCTCTCTGTTCCCGCGCTGCGAGATCCATATACGCGCGGGGGGTGCGGGCGGTGAAGGAGCGGGAGGAGGAGAGGGAGGACAATCAACATGTAGGAGTAACAAAACATGCAGGAACAGGAGGAGGAGGTGAACAGGAGGAAAAGGAGAAGGAGGAGGAGCAGGGGAAGAAGAGGAAGATGAGGAAAAGCAAGAAGAGGAACACAAGGAGGAGGAGGACGAGGACGAGGACGAGGAGGAGGAGGAGGGAAGGAGGAGGAGCAGGAGGAGGAGGACGAGGAGGAGGAGGAAGAGGAGGGGGAGGAGGAGGAACAGGATGTAATTAGGAGTCGTCGTCGTCGTCGTCGTCGTCGTCGTCGTCGTCGTCGTTGTCGTCACCCGCGGCCACCGGACGGGGCCTTGCGCAAGACGTGCCCCCGCGGCGGGGTCTCGTCTCCCAGCGCGTGCGGCTTTGCCTGCCCCGGCCACATGGGGGAGGGGCGGCCCTGTGCGCATCCCCTCCTCTCCCTCCTCCTCCTGCTCCTCCTCCTTCTTATTATTGTAAGTATGTTTTTCCTTCTTTTTATTATTCCTCCTCTCTCTCTCTCTCTCTCTCCCTCCTTATACCTGCTAGTGCGCACGTCCGTGGCGGACATCCCTGCTCCGCCACGCCGCTCGTGCCACGCACCGCGACCGGGCACGCCGCTAAGCGCGGGGGTGTCGAACTCACGCCGGAGCCCGTTTCTTTCTGGGGGGGGAGAAGGGATGGAGGGGACATGCTATTCAAACCCCGACACAATGAGGAGGAGGAGGAGGAGGCGGAGGAGGAGGAGGAGGAGGAAGAGGAGGAGGAGGAGGCGATGGCTGTTGCCCTCTGCGCCCTCATTGAGCTCGGTTTCAATATGTCTTCGAACTGCAATTCCTGCCAGAGCCCTGGCCGCCGGAATTAACGTTGGCGCAGCCTGTGGTCGAGCGGTAAACCTGGTCCGTAGCCTGCTGGCCGCAAGCAAGCCTTTCGCGCCCTTGTAATACTCGTCGGAAGAAGCTAGGAGGCGTCCAAAATAAAGCGGGATCCGTAATGTTTGTGTACCTGGCTTGAGTTTGGCGGGCCGCGCTGTCACCGTGAGATTTCACACGGAAATCCCGAAGTAGCTCCTGCAGGGCCGTGAGCAAGCCTCTCATACGGCGGTGCGCTGGCGATGCGCTACTGATACTCAGCGTAGGAAATGCGGCCCGCCTTGGAAACGGCCTGCATGGTACTGAACCGCAGCTGGAGCTCTCTGTCCCGCTTCTACCACCAAGTGGCTGCGATTCCTCTGATTGTCGCGGCCTCCACATCATTGCGTGGATCGCGTGGTAGAGGCTCTTGTGATGACCGTCGTAGCTCAGCAGGTTGCCCTCGCAGCTCAGGAGGTGACGCCCGGAGCTCGGCTGGTGGCCTTCGCAGCTGTGCTGGTTGCCCTCGTAGCTCAGCTGGTGGCCGACGCAGCTCAGCTTGGGGCTTTCTAATTCAGCTGGTGGCCCTGGACAATCAGCAGGAGGTCCTCGTAGCTCTACTGGTGGCTCTCGTAGCCCAGCGTCTGGCCCTGGTGGCTCAAAAGGTGGCCGAGGTAGCCCTCGTAGCTCAACTGTTTGCCTTCGTAGCTCAGTTGGTGGCCCAGGTCGCTGTGCTCGGGGCTCGTAGCTGCGCTGGTGGCCCTGGTAGCTCAGCGGGTGGACCCCGTGGCCCCTGTGGTCCGTGAAACTCAGCGTGGTCCTCGCAGCTCTACCAGTGGCCCTCGTAGCTCTGCTGGTCGCTCTCGAAAGGTCTGTTGGTGGCCCTGGTAGTTCTGCTGGGCGACCTCGTAGTTCTGCTGGTGACCCTCGAAGCGCAGCGGGAGAACACGACGCAGGGTGCAGAGCTGGCCCCTCGGACAAGGGTTGAGGTTTGATCGAAACGTCGGGCCTCTGGTCCTGGCGTGGCTCGCCATTCTTAGGCCTCCTGGAGGCTTCTCCTCGACGCGGCCAGATCTGCGCAGAAACACAGGCAAGGGGGGTTCTGAGAAACCGTTCCCAAACCCGTGCGAATGGCCGAAAAATCACTACATAATTCTTGTTGGACATTTTCGGCCCCAGGGGCCGTCACCAAACCCTGGTGCCGTCAAAGAACGACTCAAGAAGAGAAGGTGGTCCCGGGGAAATTTTTGTATTTCTGCTGGTGGCCCTGGTGGCTCAACTAATGGCCCTCGAAACTTTGCCTGCTGTCCGTGTAGCTCAGCTCGTGGTGCTCGTAGCTCGGCACATGGCTCTCGAAGCTTGGTGGTTCTCACAGCTCTGCTTGTTGCCCGCGCAGCTCAGCTTGTGGCGGGTGGTGGCCTTCGAAGCTCAGCTGGAGGATCTCGGAGGTCCGCTGGCTCTCTTAGCTCTGCGCGTGGCCATCGAAGCTGCTCTGGCGGTCGTCGTAGCTCGGAGCGTGGCCGTCGAGGCTCTTGTGGTGGCCCTCGCAGCTCCGCGCGGGGCCCTCGGAGCTCTGCTGGTGGCCACTCCAGCTGCGCCAAGTGGTCCTCGGAGCTGTGGCTGTTGCCCTCGGAGCGCAACTGGTGGCTTTCGAATCTCCGTTGGTGGTTATTCGCCTGGAGCCGGCAAGCCAATCGTGAGATCAGGCAGGACGTGCGTGGAACTGAGCTCGTCGTTGCCGTAGTTGTCGTGCTCGTGGCTGCTGTTTCTGTCGTGTTCGTAGGCGTCGTGCTCGTAGGGGGGGCTTCTGCGGTTTCGTGGCGGTGGGCTGGTGGCGGTGCTGCTGTGGGACCTCCACGACGATGTACTGTATCTGCTGATCTCTCGGCGCAAGGTGCTATCGTGTAGCGCTCTTTTTTCGTGTGTTCTCGTATAGCACATGTCCCTTCCTTGTCGCATGTGGTGCGGCACTTTTTGCATCCGGTATAATAACTGCTGCCATACTTGTAATCGTACTTCTGAAGAGCAGCAGTGATAATGATTCTGATGTTTTTGGGATTTGGCTGTCGTCCATGTCTGACGGACTACCCCGTTCCTTTCAACACCGATTCTGCGTTGGGTCTCGGCATGTTTGCCAGCGTCTCCACGTACTCGAAACTTTTGCACTTCGCGAATTATGTCACAATGGCATGGCGCCCGCCGTGCCGCGGCGCGTCCAACGGCCTAAGGCCGTTCCCCCTTCGCGAACGGGGGATGGAGTTCCCGCAAGGGTCGGCACTGGCGGGTGCACGGCGTCCCCGAGAGAGCTGAGAGGGGATGATACAGCTATTCGACGAGGAAGTCTCCACGTGTGCATCTCTTTTCTGGTGCTGTTTTCTTTCCTGCGCGCCTGAGTCTGAATGAATCAGAAATGTGGACGAGGACTGAATATGCATGGGTGGCTGGGTGCTGAAACCCGAATGAGTCTGGGTATGAGCGACTGGGTATAATCGAGTCTGAGTGCGAGTGGGTCTCAGTATGAGTGCGGTTGGCTATGACTGGCTAGGTCTGAATGGATCTGAAAATGGATCTACAGGTGTAAGGACAAACATGTGTAAGCGCGTCCGGGTACGAGCGTCTGGGTATGAGTCGGGTTGACTGCGAGCCAGTCTGAATGGGTCTGACTGCGGGTTACGAGTGGGTTTGAATGTGATCTAGGTGCGAGAGAGCCTGAATAGGTGAGGGGGTCTGGGGGCCACCTGGGGCCACCTGGGACCTCCTGTAGGATTAAGTCGGGCCTGTCCCCCTACAGGGGGTTTTCCGACGAAAAATAAAGCATACCCCAAACATAGTCAAACAATAGTTCAACAATAGTCTGGGGACGATTTTGTGGGTTTTTTTTTTTTTTTTTTTTTTTTTTTTTTTTTTTTCCTATTTTGGAATATTTTTTTGGTATCTTTTATTTTTCGTCGAAAATCCCCCTGTAGGGGGACACGCCCGACTTAACTGTAGGAGCATCCTGGGGCCTCCTCTGGTGCAGCCTACTGGGCCTCCTGCCTCCTGACTCTTTTTGGGGTCTCCAAGAGCATCACGGGGTTTCCCTCAGAGGCCCGCAAGCTTCTTCCAAATGCCCTTAGCCCTTAGCCCCCCACCGTACGCCCGCCAACCCCCCTTGAGGCCGTGAGCCAGAACAAACTTCCAATAGCTTCCCCCAGATCCCAGCATTGGGCGTTGCACGGGGACGGCCCAGAAGGCTCGAGCGGGTGGCAATCGGGGGTGACCTGCATGGGGGGTGAAGAAAAGGGCCCTGAAAGGGCCCTTTCCTTGCCACCCGCCCGAAAGGCTCCAATACGATCCAGGAGGCCTTCAATACGATCCAGGAGGCCCTGAATACGGTCCAGGAGGCCCTGGGCTCCAGGAAGGCCTTGGACCGCCCAGGGCGCCGCAGCACTGGACCGCCCAGGGCGCCGCAGCAAGTCCACGGCCCTGGCGGGGCCTGTCTGGATCGACGGCACCGGCCGAAAGGCCTTCACAAGAAGGACGCTCGTCAAGGATGCAAGGGCCTTGGGATGCCATGCCAACACTTTGTGAGCGGGGCGCGGCCAGCGATAGCGGCCACGGATGGGCCGAATGGGAAGAATGCAATAGCAACCTTGGAAAGTTACTACTAATCCTTACGCTGCGGGTTGACTGTAGCCCACAATGTCCTCTTGTGCCGTCGCTGGCTTTTGTCGAGGGAGGGAGGGTGGGGGTGGGCTGGGCCCGCTGACTCGCCCGAGCAGGCTAGCTTGACTCCTGTGACTTCTGCTCTCGCCCCTTCTCTCCCCCCTTTTCTTCCGCGTCCCCCCTCGGCTCTTCATCCCCAACCGTTTCTATTGTTTTTCTTCCTCTTCCTCGTCCTCATCTCGTTCTTGGCAGAATGAAGAAATGCGGAGATCCTCGCGCATTTCTAGGATCTGTGCTGGGGCCGCCGCTGGCGCGCTTCGCGCGCCAGGGAGGGGCGCCCAGCGCAGATCCAAGGAATCCGCGCAGAGCTCCAACGGTGTATGTTTGTGCTGTTTTCTGCTTCGACCTCTCGTGGCCGCACCGCTTGCCCACGCTCGTGGCCGTGCTCGTGCGTGCCCACACTTGTGTTGTTAGTTCTGCGTGCTCGTGGCCGTATCGCTTGCCCACGCGTGCCGCGGGCTCCTGCACCCGTCGCGCCTGGCAACACAACGGGCATGCAACCCAGCAGGCAAGGCGCGGGCGACGGCCTCACCGCCATGGTACCCCTGGGAACGGCCATGGTAGCGGTGCTGGCCGTGGACGGCAGGATCAATCGGCGTCGACTCGGGCAATCGGATCGGATTGGAACGTGTCTCGAATCGGGTTGCATTGGCCCGGAATCGGCACCGAATCGGATGCGCCGGAATGCACAGCATCGCCGTGCACGCACCAGGCCGCATCGGATCGCCCGAAACTCGGAATCGAATCGAATCGGGCTGGCCAGGATCGATCGCGGATCGATCTCGCGTCGGACTAAGGTGGACCCGGGAGGGCACGATAAGGCAGGAGGGCGGGGGCTCGAGGGCAAAGGGCCCGCGCCCGAGGTGGAACGGGCGAAAGGGGCGGGGCGGGGCGGAGAGTGTCCTCCGCGCCCGCGCCGTCGGCCGCGGCCGCTGGGCCCGGGGGCGTGCCGCCGCCCTCCGCGGGCGAGGCCGTGGCGGCGGGCGACGCCGTGGCGGCGGGCGAGGCCGTCGCGGCGGGCGACGGCGTCGGCGCCGTCGCGGGGCGTGACGTGGGGCTCGGGCGGGCAGCCTCGGTGGGGTCCTGGCGGCGGAGCGGCGGGGCCGCGCGCCGCAGCAATCTCTTCGCGCAAGGGCGGGGGCAGGGGGGGGGGGGCGCCGGGCCACCCGGTTTCCTCGTGCATCGCGCCGCGCGATGCGCGGCGTGCGGTTCTCTGCGTGCCCTCGCGCAGCCGCCCCTGAGAAGGGCGCCTCTCCAATCCAAGCCGCGGTGCGCGACGCGCGATCATCTTCGCTCCCCGGGGGGTGACCTAGGGAGGAGGGCTCCCCGCCATCGGTACACCGTAGCGGCGTGCCCAGAAAGGTGGCGCGGACTTCTGGGAAGGCGGGGGGGTTCTCAGGAAGCCGCGGGCCTTCTCAGAAGCGCCTGGAGCCTTCCAATCACGCCGCGCGTACACGCTGGCCGAGGGCATCTGCAACGGGAAATTGGGGCACGGGGGCCCACGAATGGGGGAATATAGGTCAGGATATGGGTGCATAAAGGGCCAGGAAATGGGGGCTCTAAGCCCCATAGGTGTAGGTATCTCCAGCGGTAAACGGGGCCATAGGGATACCGAGATAAGGCCCGGCAGCAAGAGATAAGCGCATTAAGGCGGCCCTTGCCAACGCTGATGCCCAGTGCATATGCTTCCATCCTTCCCCCCTCCCCTGGACTTTCTTGATTGGGTCTATAGGGCTGTCCAGGGGTCTCCAGAGATCTCCTGGGATTTCCCACGGCGTGATGAAGTTTGACTTTCAGTGGCCGTGGAGAGATCTCCTCGGAAATTGCTGACGAGGCCAGCGTTGGCGTCCTGAAGCGGCACGTTCGTATCGTGACGACTTCGGCGTTGGTTTCTGACACCGCATGGATGATTCAATTCCCAAGATTCCCTATATTTTCCCATATTTCCCTCGGTTTTCGTCTTCCCCCCCACTTCCAATATTTTTCCAATATCTTCCCGGGAATCGACGATTAATTGTGTCCGTGTGTTTTTTCCCCTCCTGATTCAAACTTGAACGATCGGCGGCTCTTCGATCGCCAGACCGTAACATAGTGGCCGATTCTGGGCCACTCGCGACGCTCAATCTTGAACGGCCGCGGCAAGGTCGCCGCCGAGTTGACTCGACGCGAACCTGCCGTACAGCCAACCGATAGAATAAGGGCGCACGATGAAGGATGCAAGTGCCTTGGAAGGCCATGCCATGTCGACACTTTGCGAGCGGGGCACGGCCAGCGAAAGTCGCTAATGATGGGCCGAGGGGCAAGGATGCAAGGGTAAGCTTGGAAAGTCGCTCATCCTTACTGTGCGGGTTGACCGTGAGATGACTGGGTCCTGGACTTTCGCGCGCGCCAGGGCAGCTTCGACCGCGGGCTCGACAGGCCCGTGCCAGTGGCGACGATGAGCGAGGGCCGACCCGAGGCTCGCCGGGCCGCGCGGCGGCGGCGGCGACGGCGGCGGCCACGGCGACGGCCGTCCCCGAGAGCCAGCGCTGCGAAACACATGCGACATCGTGGCGACTCGAGCCCGCAGGAGGAGGAGGAGGAGGAGGAGGACGACGAGGAGGAGGAGGACATGCCTCGAGCCTTCACGAGCACGTGAGGGCCCCCGGAGCCCGACCCTGGGCGGAAGATCGCCCGCTGTGGAGCCGTGGCAGCGCCCGGGCTCTGACGGAGGGAGGGCGGGCGGAGCTCCGACTCGGGGCTCGCCAGGCCGCGCAGGAACAGCGCCGCCGGCCCGAGCTCCGAGTCGGGCGTCGCCGCGGGCGCGCCACGGCTCAGCGGGCTCGGCTGCGCAGGCGCGGCCTCCAGCGAGGCGTCGAAAAGCCACTTGGCCACTTCGCCAACCTCCGGCGTCGTGCTGGGCAGGCCCGGCTCCCCGCCTGGAGGCCGCCCAAGGGTGAGGGGAAACGTTTCACCCTGAGATCTGGGAATTGCATGTTTTCTCACTCTGGGCGTTTTCGTCCAGTTCGGACCATCACAAATATTTGCGTTTTCGGTTGATTTCCAGTCCTGGGACCATCACAGATCGGTGTGGCTCGAGGAATGTAGGAGACAGTCGTAGCTCATGTTTCTTTCGATGATGCAATTTTTTTGCACTGTCGGATCTCAGGGTAAAAAAGAGAGACTGGCTCAGAAGGGAAAATCGAACCGGAATCGGCGATGAGTGGGCGACTGGGGGTCGATGCATCCCCCCCAGAGCCTGCGGCAAATTCGTGTCGTGTTGACCACGGCTCCGGTCGCTCAACATCGACCGAATCTGGGTCGCCGGCGGCGTTCAACGTTGAACGCTGGCGGCAAGGTCGCCGCCTGTCGACACGACGCGAACCTATCGCATCTCCCCTAACGTTGCCCCTGAAGGTGGGGCCCGAGCAGGTGGGGGTCGGAGGAGCGGCGCCGCACTGGCGCCCGCATCGGCGATGCATCGGGATGGAGGAAAGCCGGGCTCTGCGTGAAGACGAAGCCAAGACGATAATCAAATCGGGTGATGATCTATCGACTACCCCTGACATCCAGCGGCTCTGGAAGATGTCTCGGGCGCCGCGGCCTTCTCAGAGCGTTCCAGGACGCTCTGGGACGGATTTACCCTCGTCCTGGCCCCGTCCCATGGGTGCAGAGTATGCTCCCTGCTTCGGCGCGGGAGTAATTGACAATAAACACTGATAGTAAGGATGCGTGATAAGGATTCAAGGGCCTTCGAAGGCCATGCCGACACTTTTCGAGCAGGGCGCGCGGCTAAGCATGTGCCGAAGGAAAAGGCAGCAAAAGTTTGGAAACGCGCTCATCCTTACTATCAGTGTTGACTGTCCTGCTGCTGCGCTGGGCCCCCCCCTCCCTGCCAGCGGGGGCCCAGCGCCGATCCGAGAAACCCGCACGGACCTCCGAAACTGCACATGCTCGTGCCGCTCTCTCCCTACTCTTATGAACTCCCCGCAGTCGCCGAGGCACTGGCGACGCGGCGCGCGATACTCCGACCCGGCCTGCTCCGGGCGCGTTCGGCTACGCGCAGGAGCGACCCTGGGCAAGACTGTCCTTCGATGCGCGGCCTGTCGATCGCTGCATGCGATGCGGCAATAACTGCCTGCGCGCTTGGGCTTGACCCCCTCGCAGCCCCCCAACAGCCAGGCACCAAAGGCCACCCCGGCGAAGGGTCACTCGGCTTTTTGGGCATAACTCGCGCCTCCGGCGCGGCGGCCGTTCGAGACAATTTGAGCACCACGGCATCGCTCCTGACGAGGCGCAGCTGCTGGAACGCACCCCGAGGCAGAACCTCCATGTACCGACGCGGAGCCCCAGGAGGCCGAAATGCCAAGGAGGCTGACCTGTTGTCGGAGGAGGACGAGTGGAGACAACGGCAGCTCACAATCGGTCTCCAGACCCCTCCTGGGGTCCAGACGCACTCGTTTTCCGAGCTGCGTCGAGCTGTGGCCACGATGGCCCCTCCGAAGGCTGACTACAGCTGTCTGAACGCGCACTCCTCTGATATTGTGGGCGGCCCCGGTCCACCGCCACCATTCATGAGCGCGAAGGACGTGAAGAGGGCCCGTCTCGCGGGAGGGCTCGGGTCTGGCGGGCTCTCGGCCATGGGCGGTTCCGACGTCCACCCGCGGGGCTCGCGCTCCAGGGCCTGCTCCGAGGCCGCGCCGTCGGCGCCGAGGCCTGGGAGGACGCCACACCAAGAAACATTTTTTCCCAACCATCCTGTGGTGTGGGGTCCTCGTTTTGAAAATCCCCGTGTTCTTCTCCTTCCTCCCGCTCCTCCCCCTCCTCCCTCCTCCCTCCTCCCTCCTCCCTCCTCCCTCCTCCCATCATCATCATCATCATCATCATCATCATCATCATCATCATCATCATCATCATCATCATCATCATCATCATCATCATCATCATCATCATCATCATCATCGTCATCATCATCATCATCATCATCATCATCATCACCATCACCATCACCATCACCATCACCATCACCATCACCATCACCATCATCATCATCATCATCATCAGCAGCAGCAGCAGCAGCATCATCACCACCATCATACCCAGTACAGCGTTTCGTGGCCCCATAGGGAGCTCCACCCAATACCTCAGTGGGGGTGGCCACATGCGTCCGCCACACCCAGTACAGCGTTTCGTGGCCGCACAAGGAAGCTCCACCCGAGGCCTCAATGCGGGTGGCCACACGCGTCCGCCACACCCAGTACAGCGTTTCGTGGCCGCATCTGGAGCTCCACCCAAGGCCCCAATGAGGGTGGCCACATGCGTCCGCCACACCCAGTACAGCATTTCGTGGCCGCATAGGAAGCTCCACCCAAGGCCCCAGTGGGACCGCCCGCGTGCCTCATCCACCACCCAGCACAACGTTTCGTGGCCCCATAGGGAGCTCCCCCTGAGGCCCCAATGCGGGTGGCCACATGCGTCCGCCACACCCAGTACAGCGTTTCGTGGCCCCATAAGGAAGCTCCACCCAAGGCCCCAGTTGGGGTGGCCGCATGCGCCCGCCACACCCAGTACAGCGCTTCGTGGCCCCAGAGGGAGCTCCACAGAAAGACCCCAGTGGCACCGCCCTGGCGCGTCGTCCACCACCAAATATTGCATTTCGCGGCCCCATTGATTGGGAGCTCCACCAAGCCCCAGTGGCACCGCCCGCGTGCGTCCCCCCCCCACCCGGTACAACGTTTCGTGGCCCCGTCGGGAGCTCCAGTGGCCCGCCCGCATGCGACCCCCCACTCAGTACAGCGTTTTGTAGGCCCATGGAGCTCCACCGAAGGCCCCAGTGGCACCGCCCGCATGCGTCTGCCACCACCCAGTGCAGCGTTTCGTGGCCCCGCAGGGAGCTCCAAAGAAAGATCCCAGCGGCACCGCCCGTATGCGTTTTCCTCAACCAGTACAGCGTTTCGTGGCCCCGTCGGGAGCTCCAGCGAGGGGCACCGGCCGCAAGCGTCAGCCACACCCAGGACAGCGTTTCGTGGCCCATAGGGGGCCCCACCGAAGGCCCCAGTGGTACCGCCCGCATGCGTCTCCCCCACCCAGTACGGCACGTCCCTCACGCGTTTCGTGGTCCCACAGGGAGCTCCACCGAAAGCGGCACCCACAACGCGTTACTCACAACTGCATATGGTTTGGTCCTTCGCCAGGATATTTTTTACCTTTTCGGTCTCTTAGGGCCCTCTATCACTGGGCCCCGAGATCGTCAATACCGGCTCGGGACGAGAAACCGTTCCTGGGTAAGGTGCTCAGACCTCTGGGGGGCCACGCTGTGCACAAAAACATAACGTCGAGGGCCTGGGACTACACACCTGCGCCGATCCTGGCTAGGCTGATCCTGCGCCCAGGGACGGGGCACAGAGAACTGGGGCGCGGAGCGCGCCAGGGGCGGCGCCAACAAACAACACACAGCATCAACAATCAACAAACAACACAACACCAAACACATCAAACACAAACACAACAACAACAACAACAACAACACCGCCAGTGTCATCACCAACACCAACAACGGCAACACCAACAACAAAACCAGCAACATCAACAGCAGCAGCACCGACAACAACAACACCGACTCCACCACCACCAGCAACAACAACAACAACAGCAGCAGCACTAACAACAACAGCAGCAGCAGCAACGTCAACACCAACAACAACAACAGCAACACCAACAACACCACCACCACTACCACCGACCACAACACCAACAACAATAGCAGCAGCAGTACCACCAGCACCACCACCACCACCACCAACAACAACAACAACAGCAACAACACACAACAAGGAACACAGCGAAATGTAGGTCTTGCATTGGAAGCGCCAGGCGATACGAATTCAGCATTTCCGTATCACAATGCACTTCGAGAACTGCGCCACCCAGAACACGCAGCATCAGCAAAACTCGTATCATGTCATGTTCAGTATGATGCGGTCTTCTCTTCTTCGAGCGCATGCGCCTTCCTGCCCACGGCAGGAGGCGGGCGTGCGCCGCTGTCCCGCCCGAGGTGGGCATGGCCGGGATCGGTGCGTGTGTTCTGTGGCATCTAACGGGAGCCTCCCATGCCATCTTGTTGGCTCTTGCGAATCGGCGCTATCTCGACGCTAATCGACGCCAGTCGACGCTACATCGGAGCTGTCTCATCGATCACCCTACGCTGACCGACGCAAGTGCACCCGAAGGACAAACATTGCGGATCATGCACGCCAATGGCTCTATGGACCCATGACTGACTACCGAACGGCTGCGTAATCTGCGTCCCCCGAAGGCCTGCGCCGGCCCGTGCCCGCGCCAGCTCGTGCTGGAGCGAGCGGATGGTCGCCTCCTGGCAGCGGTCGCGGCTCTCCGCGCGCCGGAGGTCGCGCTCGTGCTGCTCCGCCTGCTGTTGCAATCTCCTCTCCAGGCCCTGGCGCACCTGGTCGCAGGTTGTCAAAAGTGCCGCGGTGGCTGCAGCAAATTCGTGCTGTGACGACCCCGGCGATGACTCCTGACACCGCGAGGATCGTCCGGTCGCTTCATTCTTGTGGGGGGACATGGGAACAGGTCGTTCCGTATTGGTCGATTCTGGGCCACTGGCGGCGTTCAACCTTACACGCCCGCGGCGGGGCCGCCGCCGCGTCGACACGACACGAACCTGACGTACACGCAAGAGTGACCTCAGGCAAGAAAGATTCTTGGTGCGTGGGTGTCGAGGGGCGCGAGCGCGCAAGCCGCTGCTATCGCTCCTCAGCAGCAGTCGGCGGGCCCTGGTGGGCCCGCAAGGGAAGCTCTTATTCAGTTACGTACAGTCGAAAGGTATACCTGGCCCAAGGTGTTCAGGTGGTCTCTGGGGCACTTCTCGCGAGGGCCTGGAGAGGCTCCCATGGACCCCAGGTGGCGAAAAGCTGCTGGCACCCTGGGCCAGTGACATCTTCTGCAGCGGAGGAACACCAACTGCATACACATACACTTTTGGAGCTTCGCGCAGATTTCCTGGAAGGATCGGCGCTGGAGCTTCCCTCCCCGGCGCACGGAGCGCGCCAGGGGCGGCACCGGAGGCGTCACCAAGGGACCCACAGCGCAGGTCCAAGAAATCCGCGCGGGGCTCTGAAAGTTTATGCTTATGTTTTTTGTGTTCTCCTACCAAGAACAGGATTCGATTCTCTTCGACCTTCAGGCTCCCAAGGCCTCGGGCGTTCTGAGAAGTTTTCTGAGCCTTCCCCGCAGACGCAGAAAACTCAGAAGGCCAGAGGGCTTCTGAGAAGCCCCGCCTTCTGAGAAGGCCGCCTCCTGCTCGCTGCCCCCCCTCGCTCGCCGCTGATCGATTCTGGCGACCCACGCGGGCCTCTTCCGCCGCCTGCAGCCCCGCCTGGCTCCGCCGCTTCTCCTCGCGGAGCTGCCGGCAGAGCGCCTCGGCCTCCGAGGCGGCGATCCGTCTCTTCTCGGACTCCGCGTGGACGCGCTGCACGAGCTCCTCGGGCACGCGGCGTCTTGTGATTTTCCGTAGACCGGCTTTGCAAAGGCCTGGACCTCGTTCGTTCTTTTGTGATATTCCGCGTCGTTTCTTGGTGCGGCCAAGGGCCCCCGAATGCCGAGAGTTGTCGAAAACCGCCCGTCGCGCTTTTTTCACGACGCGAGCCCAGACAACCTCCTCTCTGACCATTCCAATCTTCGGCCCCAGGGGTCGTTTCCCGTCTCGGATTCAATTCTGACGTCCCTGGGGCCAGAACGCGGCCCCTGAAAGCCGAAATCGAGGAAAAACGTCGTCACTGACAAAACCATATCGTCGGAAATCTGGGTTCACGACGTGAAGATTACAAGGACCAGGGGTCGAACGTCGACGCCTGGACCTGTCCTGCGGTTCGCTCTGACCAACATTTCGAGGCGGATCCAGCCGTGGCGACGAGGAGCCTCCCCGAGGTGCGAAAAGGGCGGACAGCTGCCCCGATCGAAATGAATCGGATAGGCGGAAGTCGGCAGCCGAGTCGGGAGAAATCAGATCGGCGGAACTCTGCAGGCCAGTAGGCCTCCGTTGAGAAATTGGAGTCCAACTCGTAATCCAAAGTCGAATCGAATCGGAATCCGAAGTCATCGAAATCGGATCGAATTGAAGGAATCGAGCTGAGCCCTGTAAACAGGGCGAACAGCTACCAAAAATCTCGAACCTCGAACCTCGACTGTGGCATGTGAGTCCTCCTGCGCCTCGCTGCGCTTCAAGCGCACGGCCGCCTCCCTCACCGCCAGCCTGAGGTGGCGACATCCGAAACTGCCCCCACCAACCACCGACTCTCCTGAATCGACGGTGAATCAATGGGGGGGCGAGGGTAGGATTCAGATCCTGCCACGTCTTCGACGAGTTCCGAACCCTACCCACGCCGCCCCTCGAGTTGCCTGAATCGTGGATCGAAGGTTCGGACTTCGCCGCCGGCGCCTCCGCCGCTCCTCCTGCAGCTCCTTTCGGGGAGACGTAAGACTCGGGTTCGGGGGACTCGGGTTGGCCTGACGCGGCCATCATGAACATGACGCGACCCAGTCTGAAATCTGACACGAGCCCCCGCCAAACATCCTACGAACACCGCCATTACGCTACCGAGGAACCCCACATACCTATTTCATTTCCCATGTGTACCATCGGTGCTTCTGCTGCTGCTCCTCCTTCTCCTCATCGGTGTCCTCCTCCTGCTGCTGCTTCTGCTGCTGCTGCTTCTGCTGCTGCTGCTGCTTCTGCTGCTGCTGTTGCGTCTGCTGCTGCAGCTGCTGCTGCTGCTGCTGCCGCTGCTGCTGCCCCACCTCCCCGTCCTCCTCCTCCTCCTCCTCCTCCTCCTCCTCCTCCTCCTCCTCCTCCTCCTACCTCCCAGCGCACCCTGTGGCGTCGAGGACATGCCACGCCTGCCACGCCCTGGGTGCCTGCAACGCATAGGGCCCCCACCCCCAGCGCACCCCCTGAGGCGTCGAGGACATGCCACGCCTGCCACGCCCTGGGAGCCTGCAACGCATAGGGCCCCCACCCCCAGCGCACCCCCTGTGGCGTCGAGGAAATGCCACGCCTGCCACGCCCTGGGAGCCTGCAACGCGTAGGGCCCCCACCCCCAGTGCACCCCTCGTGGCGTCGAGGAAATGCCACGCCTGCCACGCCCTGGGAGCCTGCAACGCATAGGGCCCCCACCCCCAGCGCACCCCCTGTGGCGGCGAGGAAATGCCACGCCTGCCACGCCCTGGGAGCCTGCAACGCATAGGGCCCCCACCCCCAGCGCACCCCCTGCGGCGTCGAGGAAATGCCCGCCTGCCACGCCCTGGGAGCCTGCACGCATAGGGCCCCCACCCCCAGCGCGCATGCCACGCCCTTAGGCAGCGCATGCGGCGTCCACGCCTGCCACGCCCTGGGAGCCTGCAACGCATAGGGCCCCCCCCCCAGCGCACCCCTTGTGGCGTCGAGGAAATGCCACGCCTGCCACGCCCTGGGTGCCTGCAACGCATAGGGCCCCCACCCCCAGCGCACCCCCTGTGGCGTCGAGGACATGTCACGCCTGCCACGCCCTGGGAGCCTGCAGCGCATAGGGCCCCCACCCCCAGCGCACCCCCTGTGGCGTCGAGGACATGCCACGCCTGCCACGCCCTGGGAGTCTGCAACGCACAGGGCCCCCACCCCAAGCGCACCCCCTGTGGCGTCGAAGGAATGCCCTGTGTGCTATGCTGTGCTGTGCTGTGCTGTGCTGCTGTGCGGTGAGCTGTGCTGTGCTGTGCCGTGCTGTGCTATGCTGTGCTGTGCTGTGCTGTGCTGACTTGAGCTGAGCTGAGCTGTGCTCAGCTGTGCCGTGCTGAGCTGAGCTGAGCTGTGCTGAGCAGTGCTGTGAGGAGGAGGGGGAGAGTGAGGTGTGTGAGAGAGAGAGACGGAGAGGGAGGTGTGAGGGTGAGTGTCGCGGGTGCGGCGCGGCAGGGAAGAAAACTAGAACCCCACGAAACATGTGGGAAAAAATCCAGGACGCGCTCGTCCAAAAGCGTCAGCACATCCGAGATCCTGCGCTCTCGAATCTTACGTTTTCCCGATCCTTGGCGGACTGCCGCTGGGCCTCCTTGGTGGACCTGCTCGCCTGCGGCGAGCGGCTCTCCCTCTCTCTCTCGGGCCGCGGGCGGCGAGCACGCCGCGCACGCCTGAACCGGGCAGGCCCGAGCTCGATCGAGCTGCAAATCAAGACGAAGCCAGGACGAGGACACATTCGGGTGAGGATAGGCCGAGAATCTCTGATTCTGCGGCTCTGGAGGATGACTCTGGCGCTGCGGCCTTTTCAGAGCGTGCCGGAACGCTCTGGAACAGACTTACCCTCGTCCTAACCTAATCCGACAACGGAAAATCGGATCAAGAACGGATCGGATCGCCATCGGATCGTCCCGATCGAGCCGGACTCGGATCGCGGCGCCTAGCTCTGGCCGGCCCCCGGCCGATGTCGGCGACGCGAACCGAATCGGTTCGAATTGAAATCGCGGCCCCAGCTGGCGAGTAGAGAATCTCATCGCATCGGCTCGTGGGGTAGCCCTGTCAGGCCCTCGCTGTCAGGATACCCAGGCCTCGATCCCACGGATGCGCGATCCCGTGGAAACGTCCCGCACCACGGACACATGGACATGCTTTACCCAGGTCCTCGCGGTCAGAGTACCAAGCCTCGATCATGTTGTTGTTGCTGCTGTTGTTGTTGATCCCCCCCGCCCGGTGCACATTGAATTTTTTATTGAAGTACCCCTCCCAGGGCTCGCACCCTGTTTTTGGCAGGGAAAATCTTGAGGCTCACACTGTATCGTTGGCCCCCGGTTCCACAACAACAGCAACGGCTCCCGCCCGATACTTCCTCATAATTTACTGACACATCGCGCTCTCGCTTGGGACTTCCTGGCAATTTGCCACCGAATCGCGGCTCCCGCTTGATACTTCTTGACAATTTATTGCTGAATCGCGTTTTCGCTTGGGACTTCCTTGCAACTTACCACCGAACCGCCACGCTTGATAGTTCCTCACAATGTATTCAGATGCCGGTCCTCGACGCTCAGGAATCGCGCTCCCGCCACGTATTGCCTGGCGGTTCAAGCAGGATTCACGCTTCAACGACCCGCACGCTCGACCCGCCCGTCGGGGCCTGCCCGCCCGACCAGCCCGTTGATGATTGCAGTCGCCGCTCGCTGCCCTTCGCCCGCCTTCGATGCCCCTCGCTACCCGTACTGGTTCCGCGTTTGCCTTCGCTCGCTGCCCTTCGTGGCCCCGTTGCTGCCCTCAGTGGCTCCGTCGCTGCCCTTTGTGGCCCCATACGCATGCCCTTCGTAGCCCCGCTGTCGGCCTTCGTGGCCGCATCGCTGCCCTTCGTGGCCCCTTTGCTGCCCTGTGGTCCCGCTGTCGCCCTTTGTGGCCCCGTATACGAATGCCCTTCGTGGCCCCCGCTCGCTCGCGCCCGTCGTGGCCCCATATGCATGCCCTTCGTGGTCCCGCTGTCGCCCTTTGTGGCCCCCTTGCTGCCCTTCGTGGCCCCAGTGCTGCCCTCAGCGGCCCCGTCGCTGCCCTCTGTGGCCTCGGATTTGATGCCCTTCGTGGCCCTTGCTGGCTTTTCTTACGATTTACTTAGGAATCGCGCTATCGCTCGAGACTTCCTCGCGATTCATGCAGGACCCACGCTTCAGCAACCCGCCTGCTCGACCTCGTCGCCTGGGCCCGCCTTCCCGACCTGCCCGCTATGGGTCTGCCCACCCGATCTGCCCGTCTGGTTCTACCACTTGTTTTCTGCTCCTTGCCCCCCTCCTGCTAATTTCTCTCGTGCTCCATTGTTCTGCCTCCCCCTTCCGCCCGTCCTCTCTTCCCTTGTTTAGGGGCTGCACTAAATACACGTGGCAGGTAAGGAAGATATACCCCCAAGGGGGTACGATCGAAAACGACGAGTGCGGGTACCGATGGTTTGGGACATACGTATGGATTAGCACGTGAGCAGATAGGAGCGAACAGTCTTAAAATGATTGCTGTTGTTGTTGCTGTTGCTGTTGCTGTAGTTGTTGCTGTTGCTGTTGCTGTTGGTGTTGGTGTTGTTGTTGGTGTTGGTGTTGGTGTTGGTGTTGGTGTTGTTGTTGTTGTTGTTGTTGTTGTTGTTGTTGTTGTTGTTGTTGTTGTTGTTTGGACGGTATGGGAATCAAGCGCTAATTCCCAGGCAGCAGCAGGACCGACCGAGGACCGACCGAGGGCCCGAAGAAAGGCGAACGAGCGAGGGCCAGAGGAAAGACACCCGCGGATGCGCGATCCCGTGGAGACGTCCCGTGAGTACGTGCCCAGAGAGGCCGCGGCCGCGGTGTCCAGACCGCGAGGCCAAGGATACGGATGTGCTTCCCGCCCGTTTGGGCCCTCTCCTCTCCGACCACGGCGACGCAGCCGCAACGACCGCGCCGCGGGTTCCCTTGCCCCAGGGCTCCCAACTTCGCGCTTTGCGCTCCGCGAAGCGCGAATAACTTCGCGCTCTCGCGCCGCCCCCCCAAAGGGAGAAACGGACGAGGAGGAGGGGGAGAAGGAACGAGGACCGCGAAGCGCGAATAACTTCGCGCCCTCGTGGGAACCCTTGCTTGCCCCACCCCCCTCGGTGATCCCGGAGAGGACGGCGAGGGTGCCCCCCAGAGGCAACTGAGGAGACCGGGGCCCGAGAATGATGGCAGCTGAGAACAGCGGGGCCCGAACGTAACGGAAAACCTCCAGGACCTCCTCCTCTTCATGGCGAAACCTGCCCCTCTGCTCTCCCGCCCTCCTGCCCATTCATGTTCGCAGGAGGGAGTCCAAAGCGAGGGTGGACCACCTCTGGGGGTGCCCAAGTAAGGACCTGGGCGATCGCAGCCCGCGAAGCCTACGACATCGAGAACAACAATCGGCAACTCGCTAGGCGACTTGGCAGAATGAGGGTTCTGTCGACCCGGGGGAATGGCTCACTCAGGGGGGGAAACATCGACCTGAAATCGGCAATAGATCGCCGATAGATCAGCGACCGAAAGGTCGTGGGCGGGGGGTGAGCTATCGGGCCCTCTCGGCAATAAGTGGGCGATTGGGGATCGCTGCATCCCCTCTGCGCCGATTCCTCCTAATGATCCTCGCCGTCGGTTTTCCAGCTCATAACGCGGGTTTCCAGAGGCAGTGCGGGACGATCTGGGCACCCCCAAAATGCCCTCGGCGAGGCGCAGCTGCTGGAAAATATCCCGAGGTTTGTTAACTGCCCAGAACAAACGAAAACGCTCGAAAATCTCTAACCTCGACTCCGAAACGTCCCCCCCTGAAACTATCGCCTCCAAACACCCTCAAATATGATTTCAATCTGCGGCCCCAAAAGTCCTGACTCCTTCCGTAGTTCTTCGTCCCGGATCAATTTCTGATGGTCTTGGGGCCCGATAGTGTGAATCATGTAAGACACAGTGTAGAGAGCTGGTCTCGTCTTTGCTATGTTTGCCTGTCGTGCCTAGCGTTAAATCCGCCGATCCGGCGTGTGAGTTTCAAGGAGTCTCAGCTACAGCCTCGAGGCTGAGCTTCAGCCTCTGGGGGGGTCGCCGGGGTGGCTCTGCCGGGGAAGGGGGGGTGGGGGGGGGGGGGGGGGTGCGAGTTTCCGGCGAACCCCGGGGCCGCTCCGGGGGAGTGGAAGATAGGGGGGGGGGGGGCGCCATGCTCCGCTTTTTCCGGCGCTTTGGAGGAGGGGGGGGGCCCAAGAGACCCCCAAGGGGTTCCAAGAGGGCCCCGAGTCGCCGAAAAATCGCTCCAAGACGCCCGAGATGGCCTCCAGACGGCCCAAGGTGTCTCCAAGACGCCCCAAGAAGCTTCCAAGAGGCCTCCCAAGAGGGCCCCAAGAGGCCAGAATCGTTGATTTTCATTGGTTTTTTCAGGGTTTTTAGCGTTCTTGCCTTTTCGGGCGTCCGACGCTCGAAGACGGCCCAAGAGGCCCCCAAGTCCGTCCCAAGACGGCCCACGATGCTTCCAACACGGCCCAAGAGAGCCCCAAGACGGCCCAAGAGGGCCCCAAGACGGCCCAAGAGGGCCTCTGGACAGCCCAAGAAGGCCCCAAGAGAGCCCCAAGAGGGGCCCAAGAGGGGGACCACGAACCGAAAGAACCGAGCTTTCCGCCCCAAGAGGCCCCCAGGAGGCCCCAAGAGACCCCCAAGGGGCCCCAAGAAGCCCACAAGAGGCCCAAAAGAGGTTCCAAGAGGCCCCAAAACAGCTCCCCAGAGGCCTCCAGACTGCCTCCGGCAGGCCCCCGGTTTCTTCCGCGGCACCGCCCAGGGCGCCACCGGCAGGATGTCCTCCGTCTCATCGTTTTCCTTCAAGTTATCGCCTCTTCCTCATTCTCCTCCTCCTCCTCTGCGACCTCACTCCTATCCCTCAACGATCGCGTCACCGAGTGCCTCTTCTTTGAAACATCCTCGCTCTTCAAACGCACATCCATACACACATGCATACATACCTACATTTAAACACATTTGCATACATAGAAAAACAATCTTCCAGACATACATACTTACATTCACACACATACACACATATTATCATACACACATACAAACATACATACAAACTAAATACATACATACGCGCACAAGCATACATACATACATACGTACCTACACACAGGCACACATGATCAATGCATGCATACATGCATGCACGCGTACATACACACACATATATCGTGAAACTCACCGCGTGCTCGAAACTTGAGAGAGACCGCGGGAAGTCGAGAGAAGCCGCGGAACGAGGCCTCTACTACTACTACCACTACTACCACAACCACTACTACTACTACTACTACCACTACTACTACTACTACTACTACTACTACTGCTACTACTACTACTACTACTACTACTAATACTACTACTAGTACTACAGGAGCGTTTCCCAACTAGTATGTGTGTGTGGGTGATGCTGTGTGCGCATGTCTGCGGCGCAGGTTAAGTGGTGTGACTGTGTGTGTGCGTTTGAGTGTGCGCCCATAATTTCTGCGTCTGGAGAATAACCCCGAGCGACCCGGATCGGCGGCACTGGCCGAAGGCCACTACAATATGCAACCATTTTGGAGCATGCTACGGTCGTAGC